GGATTATAGAAAAACGCAAAAGCTCACGATGACTAGGTATGAGTCCAGTGTCGCCATGCACAACTAACAAAGAATCATGAACTCAAGAATCAGAATCATTTTCAGGGTAGAAGCTCCTTGTTATGGTTGACGATGCTACCCTACACGCCTACACACGCCAACTCAAGAATTCTCTCTCCACTCTCCGGAGAGAGAGAGAGATGCGGCAAAACAGCAAGCCGGGACCGACAGGTATTGAGCGGCATGAGTCCCGCAAACGGCATGAGCCCTACGAGGGTAGGCAACTTGGGTGGCCGTGTGCTCAGCACGTGTGCCAACCGACCATGACATTGAAGTTCTGCGCGTCGAACGCCTGGCCCCACACGTGCTTGCTCTTGCCATTGGTGATCGTGCAGTACTTGTCGACCGAGACGGCGTAGGTGGCAAAGTCGGCGCATTTCCAGCTGGCGAAGTGGTCGTTGTCGTTGCACCAGCTATCGTAGGGGGGCACGGAAAGCCTCACATCAGCCACAGCTCCTAACAGTTTCTGGGGGTCGGGGAGTGTCAGGTAATGGGGTCGGTGTCGTGGGAGAGAGGAAGAAGAAGTGCTGTGGTGGTGGTGGTGGTTGTGGGAGTGGTGGTCACTGGTGACTGGTATCTTGACAGTTTTGACTCACTAGATGGCAGACTCGTACGAGCAGCTGATCCGGCCGCAGGTGCCGGGCCCGGCCGCCAGGCCGCAGTCGCCTGGGACGCCCTGCAGGTACTTGATGCCGTCCTTGATGGCGGACTTGGTTGCAAAGCCCTTGAGGCCGACGTCGCACAGGGTCTTGGTCCACTGGCGGGCCGAGAGGGCCGACGAGCCGCGCTTCTCAATGATTCCGGCCGCGGCCTTGGCGGTGTTGATTTGGGGAACCACCTCCTGGACTAGAATGTACGCAACGCCGCGTCAGAGTAGGAAGGGGAGTGGGTTGGGGAGGCGCGGCCCGCGCAGCAGCGGGGTTGGGGGTCGGGTGACAGGCAGGTGTGACCTAACTCACCGGTGCCGGTGAAGTTGTAGCTGGGGCCGCCGGGGGACAGCTCGCCGGTCCAGAAGACGGGGACTTCGGTGTAGTTGTCGGGCAGGCTGGAGCGGATGGTGGCGCCCGCGGGCAGGGTCTGGTTGATAGACATCGTGGGTCGTCCTGTTAGTGCTGCACTTACTGGGCGGAGGTAAGCCAGTGGTTGAGTTGACGTACCATGGCGGCCGCAGCCGCAACGCCGGCGAGGATGAGAGTGAGGATGTTCAGCATGGCTGCCAGAGGTGGAGTGGCTAGTCCGGTGATTGTTCTTTCCAGATCGTCTGAGAGAGGTGATCAAGTCGGTTGCGGAAGGATGGCAAGTGCAAGAGAGGAACAGTCCGAGTGAGAAAGAGTCCGAGAGGGGCAGGGTTCAAGAGATGCCCGCAGCAGAGGAAGACCCTCTTATTTACTAATACATGAGGTGGCTCAGATGAAGAACAATGGGAAGGCACGTTGCAAGATCAATGGGAAGGCACGTTGCAAGATCAATGGGATTAAACGAATGCGTAGCTGGGGGGTCTCTGATGAGCAAACACTTCGACTTGGTGGACCCCGTGACTATGTGGCTCCGCGGTTCCCTTCCTGGTTGCCCAGGTTCAGACGATAATAGTTCGCACGAACGGCCACAGCGCGGTTGCCACAGAGTCGGCACACTGTATGCTATTGCCACGTGTTGATTCCTCGTCGCTTCCATAGGTTGGGCGTCTTTCCCTTCCTTATAATTTACCACTGACTTGGGATAACATAAGTCCATCCACATCCAATATGGTGTAATGTTGGTGTGAGTGTTAGTCATGTATGATAGCGGTACAGAGCCGTACCAACAGATAGGGGTCCGTACGGGAGGCTACCTTACCTAGGTAAGCCACGCCGTACGTCTGTGTAGGGCGTGGCCAGCCCCTGAGCCGTACGGACTTAGACTTTCACCTACTATTTACCATCTGAATACCGATAACTTGTTAACGCACATCCCAACCTGATACCGACGGACCATTCCGGTAGTATTACGTTCGTACGAACTAGGACAGTCATTCCGACATGCAAAGATAACCTGCTTACTCAGAGGACCATGGTAATATTCAAAAGACAATGTTCATGATTTATCTTCACAGGCAACTAAACCCAAATATGACCAACAGTAAAGACTTGGCTGTATGCAGATGGGTTGCTTAGCGGAGAGAACTCAAGAAACACTGTCGTAATAAGGTGGCGAGAGGAGCCAGAGCTTGAAAGACACGAGGTCGAGGTCGATATGTCGTTTAGAGGTATACACAAATGCACAAACTAGAGCGGCATTCAGCATGGTAGCCGTGCTAACATTTCCATCATATTATGGCAAAAGAGACTAGATACATTATACAGTTCCCTAAGTACCGATGCCTCATCCACTTGAACACTGCCATAACTCAGTCTTAGCCTGCTCTCTGGCGACTCCCCCGGAGACCGTGGAGTGCCCCCGGTCACTTCAGTGGGTTCAACGTGTCCGGTATGAGTTTCTCTATGGTCTTCTTGATTGTGCCGCCACTTTGCTGATGCTGTATTGCAAACCAATCAATCGTCAGCATCACCGTACTCGCTCCCTCTCTCTCTTTCTCTCTCTCTTAGTGCCCGCAACACCCCCCATCACCAGCACTTACCTCGGCGTCGGTCCGCTGCTGCTCCTCGGCATTGTGTATCAGGTCGTACTCGGCCTCGGCGGCCGAGTCCGGCAGGCCCCGCTTCTCGGCCGCCTCGTGCTCGTGCTCCTCCTGCTCGGCGTGGTGGATGATGTCGTGGGCGCCCTTCACCGCCGCGTCGGGGAGTCCGTGGCCGTCGGCAGACATGGTTCAGATGGCGTGTGTGGGTGCGTGTGTGTGGATTGAAGCGAGTAGGTATGTGTTGAACCCGCAGCAGAAGTCTCTTTTCTTTTGGATTTGTTGTTCTCTGCGTGGCAACAGTACAGCAATTACTTGTGTACGTGAGGAGCTAGGTAGAGGAGGCGGTCCGTCGAGAGAGAGGCTCTCGCAGCCGCACATATATACTCCTGCCCGCGTTTGTGATCTCCGCAGCCGGCCCCTGTGCAAGCCCGCACTTTGGTAGCATATGACCTCAGCCTGATGTCAGGGCGCGCAAGTCAATTACACGACCGGACACACGCAGCAGACCAGATTCTACTCGATTCGCTCTGCGACACGCGCATGTGGTCGTGTGCACGTCATTAACTCACCCGCCGATCCGTCCTGGCGCTTGAGCTCCCTGGGCGGAGTACTTGGGCACTGGAGGTGTTGACCACCTCTAGCAGCACTGAGGATGAGCAGGAGGAGAGGAGAAGGAGGGGTTGTAGTAAAGTTTGAGATGTACCTCATGCGGTACGGTGCCATAGCTTACCCAAAATTATCACCCCATCGCATCCATATAGGATTGGGACGGTCGCGCGTGATATCGCGTGCCCAGCTGCCAGGTGTGGGTTTCTTCTGGTTGTCCAAGACCATTCTGCAGCGGCAACCCATACTAGACGACGTGAGTCGTGCAGGCTGAACGCATTGGGTCGGGGTTTGGCTGTTCTTCAGCCTTTCCTCTCGTTGCTTCACGCTTTAAAGGGGTCTGACACCACTGAGATGGTGATGAGCTAGGTCGTGTTGACATATTGCTCCAAGTACAGAGCTTGCAATTGTAATTTCACCAAGCCCATTGCGCCCCCGAGAAGTTTGGCCTGAGAGATGTCTCAATCGAGGATAGAGCCATTCGGTTGATAGCGGGTTTCCACCGCTGGACAGCGGTGAACCTAGAGATTATTCACCGGGTAATCTTTCACTAGGTGACCATCTCCTTCTTGCATTCGTCGTGACTTCCTCGCTACGCTAGTTGGTAAGTTGACTTATCTTAGGGACTTAACACCATGCTTTAAAGATGTATACTATCGGAAACTCGGCTGTTTGAAACATGTATATCGAATCATTCATTGCTATTTTAGACCGGCAAGTAAGTCCAAGCCTTCTAAGTTACTGAACAAGTAAGATAACTAGAAATCAGCGGTGGTTTAGACTAACATCGCTCCTGTAGGTGCCGTTGGAATCAAGTGATCTAGACTGTTACATTTCACATCTGAAAACCAGGATAGGTTACAGGGGCACCATCCTCACTAAGCTAACTAACATGTCCCTAATACTGCCAATTGTTGCAAAACACAAGATAACCATCAATGTCTCAAAACGCCTTGGCCAGCAAGCAGCTATTCGGTGCCTGCCTTACTTCCTTCGACCAGAATGCGTAATGCATAAGGTACTTGAGTTTAAGTACGCCTTGGTTCTACTCTACCTACCTAAGTATACTCCGTTGCTTGATACCCGCAGTGGGCTCAGCTTGCAGTTACCCTGACGCGCGTAAGTTGAACCCCAACCAAGACTTTTAGGTTTCAACTCCAAGTCGCATTCATAATACCTCGGCAGAATCACCTGGGCAGATGTATATATAGGTAGGCAGCAATGACCACGGCTTCCGGTGCTGTGTTGATTAAGTGCTGCTCTACGGACCGAGCTGCCTCTTTGAGAGAGAGGTATTCACCTGAGGTACTCTGAACAATTCGCGGTGGCACTTGCCAGAAGCGAAGTAAGTTAAGTGCAGTAAATTATCGAAGTTCTCCCCTATCCCGCATACCTCGGTAAAACGATAACAGAACTGCGTCACTGCATCTGCATGGCCACCCACTCACTCACTCACTCCAACAAGGCGCCTGGCGCTGCCAAAGTTCGAGTCCATCCAAGCGAGTATCCAGACTCCACGCCGGGCAAGCCGCCCAGCCGCCCCGCCCCGGCCCCGCCCCTCACCACACAACCGAGCTCGCCGAGCCTAGCTTCCTCGAAAGCTTTTCCACCCAGAATTATAAGATGCTATTAGCCGACCCTCATCCATGTTCCAAGCCGGAGTTCTCCGAACGGGCGATACACAAGCCACGGCGCAAAATGGAAAACAAAGCAAAAAGACCGGTTGGCGCAATTGGTAGCGCGTCAGATTCCAGCATCCATCCTGGAACCTCCTGAAGGTTATCCGTTCGAGTCGGGTATCGGTCACTTGTGGTTATGAAGTCGCTTCGATTTCATTTCATTTTGAATCATTTTACCTTATTCTCTCTTTTCTCGAGCTGGGTCTCTCACCTTTTTCGTGATCTGTTTTTTATGCGAATGATTGATTGCTTAATTCTTTTTTACTCCCTCTTCCCCCCTCCCTTTTGCTTCCGCTCATGAGAAATATTATCATGTAAACTGCCACAGTCGCTAAATGCTCTCTCATCACTGGCTTTTGAGTCTCACTCACTCACCTCACCCCACTGGAAATATCACAGCTGTATTATTGTCTTCAATCAAGTGGGCAGGCGCGTGTCCGGGACGTGATGAGCTTGGTTGAGACTGAGGGCATTGTGTGTACATAAGTAGCGACAACTAAAACCACACCAACATGATCGCGTAACCACAAGCATGTTCGAGTGAGTACCTACCTCGCTACCTACATCAGGTAGATAAGAAGAGAGAGAGAGCCAGAAGAATGAAGGCCACCTCGCCTCACTCACTTACCTTACTCACGATTCTGTCAACTCCTAGGTGCAAAGCTTTAGCGGAGTGGGACGTAGTTGGTATTCTCCTTCTGATCGCCAGTTTCGCTGGAGTCTTGCTCATAACCTTCAAAACATGCTGGTGTGCGGGCTGTCTGCGTTGTGTGTGACTGCTTGAAGGTGGCATGTTTTGTCGAGCAGTGCTCGAATATGAAGCGACTGGGCTTACCAACTATCACAAGCTTGGGTTTCATGTCCTCTTCGCGAGATCGGCGACAGCGACTTTGATCATCACAATATTGAGAATCACAATGGGTATTGCACAGGTATTCATTCATCTAACTCGTTATTAATGGCGTCGAAACTACAAGCAAACCCGGACGGTCCGATGACAGCTACTCGAGATTCTGCGCGCAGCACCACCTTGAAGTTTTTCTGTATCCGCGGCCTTGGATCAATCCTCGTCAACCTGGGAGACTTCGCATCAATCCAGTGCGAAAGACCAATGCAGAAACAACGCGCCGAGCCGTCTGATGCCATTCGCCAGTAGGGACATGGGGTCGTGGTCTATAAGCGAGGAAGCAATCATTTTACAGCTTGTCGTAGTACTGCAGTCACGTGTTAGCAAGTCCTTAGTTGTCCGGAGTCTCTCGAGTCCACTTACGTTGCTGACGTCCGGTACCTCAACCTTGATACCCTTGCGCTTACGCATCGTCTCGACAATCTGGCCAACCTTGGAGGTCTTGTCGAGCGGCGAGCCACCGGGCAGAACCTGCCAGTGGTCGAACACCATCTGGGGGAAGGCTTGGCCAGAGGTCGCTTGTCTGAGATCACCGTTGAAGCCGAACGACTCCATGACAGGCAGGTATGCCTTGATAGTGAACAGAGGAGTGCCGGGACGCTGCTCCTCGTTGAAGACGTGGCCTCTTCTGCGGGTCAGGACACCGTAGACACCGCCCATCGCATTCTCCGGAACCTGAATCTCGACAAGGAAGACGGGCTCCTGCAGAGCAGGCTCGGCCAGCAGAGTCGAGGCGTACAAGACACGGCGAGAAGTGGGGATGATCTGACCGCCTCCACGGTGGATGGCGTCGGCGTGCAGGGTGACATCCATGATGTTAAACCGGACGGAACGCAACGGCTCTTCGGCAATGGGACCCTCGCGAGAGGCCCACTGGAAACCAGAGACGACCGAGTCCTTGATTTCGTTCAGGTACTGCACAGCCTTAGTCTGGTCAACCAGCAGGTTGGCGCCGATTGTGTCGGGGCCGAAGCACCAGATCTTTCGTGCATCCGTCACGTCCCAGCCGAAGTCGTCCGCCAGGATACGAGCGCGGGCCTTGAAATCGTCACGGGGTCCGATCTTGCCAGCCTCGATGGTCTGAGCAAGCTCCTCGTCCATAGGCTCGGCCACCATGTACAGACGGTTGTGCTTGTTGGGGGACTTGGAGAGAGCAGTGATGCTGGACTTGCCAGCAACGGTCTCCCGGTACTGGACAACGGGGTCGGAGAAGATAAGGGGAACACCGGCATGGTCGTGCTCGAGGTCGTTCAGGCAGATCTCGAGGTGCAGCTCACCAGCACCCGCAACGACGTGCTCACCAGACTCGGAAGTGGAGGTGATGACGCAGGGGTCCGACTTGGACAGACGCTTGAGACCTTCGACCAGCTTGGGAAGGTCCTGGGCGTTCTTGACCTGGACGGAACGCGTGACGACGGGCGACACGGAGAACTTCATGACCTTGAGGTTGTGGGCAGTCTCCGAAGTGGATAGGGTACCAGACTTGAGCAGGAACTGGTCAATACCAACCAGACCGACGATGTTACCAGCAGGCATGTCGTCGATCGGCTCGACCTTACCACCCATCATGAGGACGGTACGTTGGATGGCCTTGATGAACAGGTCTTCCTTCTTGCCGGGGGTGTAGTTGGGGCCCTGGATGCGGACCTTGATACCGGACTTGACGGTACCGGAAAAGACACGACCGAAAGCGTAGAAGCGTCCCTTATCCGAGGTCGGCACCATCTTGGAGACGTAAAGCATGAGGGGAGCCTTGGGGTCGCAGTCACGGATACCAATGGCAGCCTCGTCATCGGGGGGACCCTCGTATAGCGCCTCCATACGGTACTTCTGAGCGGTGACGGGAGACGGAAGGTGGAGGATCATCATCTCCAGCAGGGAGTCGGCAGCGGGCAGGAAGGTCCTCATGACAGCCTTGAGGAGCTGCTTCCCCTCCTTGTCCTTGTCCTCGTTGGGCAGCTTCAGCTCAAGCTTGGTAAGCAGAGTAGTGACCTCGTCCTTCTTGAAGTTCATCACAGCCGAGAAGATCTTGAAGATGGGGTCCAAGATGAACTGGTTGAAAGCACGTTCAAGCTGCTTGCCCTCGTGCGTGCCCTTGGTGGTCCACTTCTTGGTGGCAGCGTTGAAGTAGTTGTCACCCTAAATAACAGAAAATCAGCTTGCTTGCTTGCTTGGAGTACGTAGCAATTTCAGGTCAAATGCGTACCCATAGACGCTCCATCATCTTGTTGCGGTCGACACCGAACTTCTTAGCGTATCGGACGGCGAACTGACGAATGGTGAAGGCCCAGCCGTGGAGGCCGGAACCGAAAGCGACGGTACCCTTCTCGGGGTAGACCTGGAGGTCACCGAGGGACTTGTCGAGGTAGGTGGAGATAACGACGTTGACGGACTCGATGGTACGGGAAAAGGACTGGTACAAGTCCTCCTTGGAGACCTGGAGCTCGAGCAGAGCACGGTCGACCTTGTTGATGACGACAACAGGCTTGATGCGCTCACCAAGGGCCTGGCGCAGCACAGTCTCGGTCTGGACACAGACACCCTCGATGGTGTCGACGACGACCAGAGCACCATCGGTGACACGGAGAGCGGCGGTAACCTCGGATGAGAAATCGACGTGGCCGGGCGAATCGATCAGGTTGATCAAGAAGTCGGTACCGTCCGACTTCTGTCCGACGACATCCTTCAGGTCATCCTCGCTGGGCAGGGTGCCATACAGAGAGATGGCAGTGGACTTGATGGTGATACCGCGTTCTTGTTCGTCTGTTCTCGTATCGGTGGCGCGGGCATCACCAGCCTTCGCGGTGGAGATGATACCGGCTTTGGCGAGAAGGGAGTCGGTCAGGGTGGACTTTCCGTGGTCGACATGGGCAATGACCGACATGTTACGGACATTGGTCGGCTTGTCCATCAACTGACGGATCTCGTCGATCGTGAAGCTGTCGAGGCGCGTGCATCAGCATGTTTACCCAACACAGCGTTTCTGCCCAGCGGCGGCAACTGGGCTTAAGTCCGAGCGGGGTAGAGGACGGGCATTTCGGCAAGCAAGAAGGTGGTGGTGATGGTGATGATGCTGGCAGCCGCGAAGCAGCAATGGCAGCAATGTAGAAGAATATAGCTGGACAGAGAGACTTACTTGACCATCTTGGCGGTGTTGTTGCGAACACTCTACTGTGCGGTATGTTAGCAGCGAGGCCTCGAGAGCGGTTTGTCGTGACCCGAGTGGTCTCAGAGTGCGGGGTGATTCTCCCGGCCGACGGCAGTATGGCGGGTGTCGACTTCGGCTGGAAGGATAGAGAGCTGATGCTGCGGATATGGAGCAGACTTGCCTTGAAAATGGAAGGCCTTGGGCAAGGGTGATTTATAGTCGCAAGCAACCACCGACCTGCGAAAGACAGTGGAGGGCGAGGAGGGTTCTGGAGGGAGGGGAGGAAATTTTGCCAGAAGCAAAAGAGCAGGAGGGGTGGAAGCCAGACGGCACTGCGGGGCTGCTCCGTTAGCCAGAAAAGGCGGGTGGGCCGCCGGGTGGCGTCGAGAATTGCTTGCACAGAAGTGGCTTGCACAGGCCCGACAGGGCTCTAACCCTCATTTCTTACCATGCGAGCTGTCTGCCGGCCTACGGCAGCTGGCAGCGACTACTACCCTATCCCAACTACCCTGCCCTGTTCTAGGACTGACAAGACAACCAACAACCAACCAACCGATAGAGTCATACCGCGGGGAAGAGTCATAACCAGAGAAAGAGTCATATCGAGAGGAAGTCCGAATAGCATAGCCTGTCCATACCTGAGTATGATGTGACACTCACCGTGTCCTGCTGTCTCCACGAGGCGGTGCAGAGTGCAGACTACCGGTATATCACGCGCCATACCCTATAATCGGCAAAGTCGAATGACATACCTAAGTTGGGTTTTTGGATATTACCGGTAACTAGAAACTGTCAATATGTTCTAATCTAACAGAGAAAGATCTCGACGACTACATATCCTGGCCTGTCAACATCGCGAAGAAGAACAAGGGTATATAAGCCCCGACTGGTCTAACCTCTTCGACTGTTGGTCAGAGTTCCCAGTAGACTCCTGCATAGAATATGGGTCCGCGAGTCGCTTGGCATGAACTCGTAGGTACGCTCAAGGTTTTCCGGATGAATAGTATGTCATGGTCTACGAAAGTCGGCATACTTGACAGCATCGCAGTGAACGGGTGAAAGAACCTTAAAA